AATCCATTAATTATATAATAGGGTTATCGGCTTAATAATAATATTATTATTATAGGATTTTACAAAGTAATATTTTGTCACCGCAGAAAATCATCGTTCCTGATACATCGTACATTCGTACATTCGTACGTACGTACGTACGTACATATGTAAAATTTCCTCGTACAGATGTACGACCACAACGAAACTGTACGAACTCAATGGTACAACGTCAGCCGTACGTATGTACGTACGTACATACGTACGAAGATTCTTCTCGTACAGCGAAATTGCACAACCCTGGCTGAGACTTTCTCTGGTTTCGTCATAACGTAGAACAGATAAGTTTTGAATCACTTACCCTTTCACACACCTGCTCATATTTTACAAGAATTTCATGACAATATTCTTTCTGGCTTTATTTTATAATAGCAGGCAATGGTGAGAAATTAGGTTGTACAGAAAACATGTGGATCATGATGTGGTTGGTTGTTTGCTCAATGATCATTATGTAACAAACAATAAGATGTTTATTATTCACAGAGCATGTATTTTCTGATGCAAAGAACTACCTTCTCATGTTTGAAGTCAGAACAAAAATATAATATTTCATTATTAAAGAGTGCTAACTACATGTGTGAAGAATTTCATTGCTGACAATATTTCCCACTCAAGAATATGTAGCAATGATCATTAGCATACATGCATTGAAAAATTGCAAACCCAATATGAGCAAACTTTATTGGAAGCATTATTATTATTGTTATTTTTGCAAACTTTATTATTTTTTGATTATATCAATGCTGTTAGGTAAATTATAATACATCAGAGAAGAAATATAAAAGTGACGAGCAAATCCAACCTGAAATTAGCAATTTAAAAAATCCTCTCAAGCTCTTTAATTAATTTGTCATAGTCTAATTCCTCTATTGCATTATAAATACTGTCCCATACATCTGATTTTCCACAACCACTCCAGAAATTTAACAATGTCTGTGCTCGTTTTTTAATATCATCATCTTTATCAAAGGGAGACCTATCCAGTGATGGTCTATGGATCATTAAATAAAATGAATGCACAAAACACATCAAGTCAACTTTTGGCCCATAAATGATCTCTTCCCCATTGATTAATGATTCCAGGACTTCATTTGGCATACATTCCAACGCACCTGCAAATTTGGTACTTTCAGAATTACTTGTACTATATCCCCAATCGATAATAAGAATATTTTCACTTAAATCGTCAAAATTGCGAAGAAAGTTATATTTCCTAAGATCTCTATGTATAATTCCAAATGAATGAACATCTCGGAGGGTGGTAATGATGTCTTTGATATCTTTCTTTCTCAAATTATTAACTTTCACACCACGTGGGGTAATAACAAGTGTGTTATAATTGTTAAATAGGATCTTTGGAATATAAGGTGAATTAAGAATTGACAATTTTTCCAATACATCTTTTTCCCTTTCAAAACAACATAGATATTCCACCTTTTTTGCCATTTTTACAACCACAAATTCATCATTATGTTTTCCCTCATATACAACACTAGTTCTACCCACACCAGCAGATCGAACCAGATTTACAGTTTCACTGCCAAATTTTAATGATGGTTCTATCCATCCCAATTCACTTGGTGAGCTTTCCATAAATGTCACCAGGTATTTCCACCCATTATTATTACTGCTGTTGTATTCCATAGGCTGGGGTGCTACATATTCATACTTGAACTGAGTGATTGACTTTTGATAGTTATCAACTTTAGACACCTTATAGATATTAATTGTAATACAATCTGTCAACATTACAAATACAAAATTTCGCCGTGGCTGAAGTTGCAGTAGTTTTTCACCATATGATACTGCTTGTCCTATTTGTGCATTGCTAAAATTTGCACTAGTTAGCTTCTTTATCTCACCAATGGCTATAACATTTAAGTAATCTAAATGTGAATATCTTGGAATGAGTACAAAATCTGGTTTTCGAGTTGCCAGTACTGGTGAATTACGTGTATCCTCAACAAGAAGCTTAAGCTTGCTTTTTAAAGGTCCATAATTTTTTAGTACATTGCATTCGCTCATAAAGTAATCTTGTATTTCCTCTTCATCTACATCTGCATCTTTGTTAGGCGGATTTGAAAACTTTCCAGGTGCTTTTGATTTGGTACTCGTGGTCACATTGAGTGGAAAGTCAATTTGGGTTCCATTTTCTCGCACTTCTTTGCCCTTATCAGTTTCTGTTACAATACCTAAACACAAAACGTTAATGGTGTTTGCAGAAATGGTTGATGGACCAGATGAATAGCATACCTGATGAATAGAGCGATTGATTCATAGCATTTTGTACCTTCCTGAAACCACTTTCCAATTTACTATTAAGTTCTTCAATTAGGGTAAATACATCAGCGGAGTTACCTTGTCCTGCTAACAAAAGAATTTAATATTACGTAAGAATAAATATCTGGTATTATTGTGGAAGAGAAATCAAGCCAAATCACATTCACTTGCATTTGACTAATTTTCTTACAACTCACTTACCAGAGGGCTGTTTGACAATAATATTAATAGAAGCATCTGTGATGCTCTCGGTAAATACATCACAAATTTTTCTAGTAGGGATTGACAATTTTAATTTATCTTGTATGTCTTTGAGGAAGATGTCAACCTCCATGGCATCTTCATCAATTGGAATGTTTACTTTCCACAGCACGATCTCAGCTGCATCAGTATTGGTGAATGTATTAGGTCTCTTCCCCTTGATTTTTTCCTTGAGGTCACTAACATCATCATCTGTTCCAGCAATAACTTTGAAAGCTTTCTCTTTAGAGCCACCCTCAACAAGGCAAAAGAGTATTTTGTTATTGGACATGGCTATTTGTACTTGTTCCAAATAATGCGAAAAAGATTTTTAACGTCACACAAGGAGCCAAAGAGCACGGCTAAATTTTTCCAAATGTGTGTATTACATCTGTAGTGTAATCTATATACAGTGCGGATCATCTATACTCAAAAGTTAAAATTTTTGAAATATTATGTGATCCACACATTGGATTTTAAAAA